TCGGTAACAGAACCTGTTATTACCTATTTTTACCGCGTAAAATATATACGAGTAAATGTTCTTTCTGGTCCTCAGCAAATTTTACGATATCCGCTTTAGTCGCTAGCAAAAAAAAGACTATTCGTGGTCCCTAAGAAATTCAAAATAGACTCATTTAGTTGAAATCGTAGTTCTTCACAAATTCAAAAAATACCCACATTAGTCCCTCAAAAGGACTAAAATAGGTCCATTTTGAATTTCTTAAAAACCACAAATAGTCATTTTATTTACTATGGATTAAAGCGGGTATCGTAAAATGATGACCGAAAAGAGTATTTATTCAATATCTATACTTTACAGCCTCTGTGGGGCATGTTGAAAGCCTCCTCGTGATGCAGAAATATGCCGCCAAAAATTTTTCAAAGCAGTTTCTAACTTCAAAGCACGGACACGCTTGTTGAAGAAAAATTTGCGTGTCAGACACGTATTTGATATGGACACGCTCTGACACGTTCGGACACGCGGTTAATATTTAGGGACACGTAGTCAACTTTTTGATATATTTTTCTGACACACAGTCAACTTTTTTCGACATGCGGTCAACGCTCGGATACGTTTTTTTTAACCTCAATTTTATTTTGTTAACTAAATATAAAAGAAATAATTTATAAATTAATTTTTTTCTGTTATGAAATTTGACATGAAAAATTAACAAAGTACGAAAAACTATTTATATTTATGTTATGAAATTTAAATATTTAATTGTTTATGTGACTTATTATGGACTCTTATATGTATTAAATATAAATTATATTATATATATTAAAAATTTTATTTAATATCAAAACGTGTCCCAACGTATCGAAATATGACATTTTTTATAATTAACGTGTCAGCGTGTCGTGTCGTGTCCCGTGTCCGTGCATCATAGGTTTCTAATACCATAGGCCATGGCCATGATATGATAGTCTCTATCATGTGCCGCATATACTCAAGGTGTTGGGATTAAGAAATAACAAATATACTCGTAGAATATTGAATTTCATTCTATTCATGCAGCAAAGGGTGTTATTAGCGATGTAAATTAGCTTGGCCGACCCAAGCTTCAACTTCAATGAGTCAAAATTATGAAAAATATTTTGAAGTTGTCTTGGTCAATTAGTTTGATATGAGCTAAATTCTAGACTTGATTTGATTTGTATTATGAAAAATTAAAGACTTGGCTTGACTCATTTATAATAATAATTTTTTTTTTTTTTTACAAACTCATATATATTCAAATGTTGAGACTATAAATGCATCAAACCTAAAACCCACATTATGAAATAAACGCAAACTTCAGTATAGGAAGAAAAGGATACACAATGCGGTCTATCCCTGAAAAAGAAAGAAAGAATCAAATTAGAAGACAAAAAAAAAAGAGAGAAGAAAAATCAATTACTGATCGGTTAGACTGCCTAGATAATTTTATCCCGAATTTTACAAGATGGGTGATTTAGGAAGACAAAAAGCAAAAGCACAAAGTAAATCCTCTTGCAGTTCTTTTTGGTTTTTTGTGAGAATACATCAGAATTTATAAATACTATATAATAAATCGAGAAAAGTAAAGAAGAAGGAATATAATTAAAATTTAAAAGGGATTTTAAAGAAATGCAATTAGTTTGTTAGACATCTACTGATAATCTGATATCAAAGAAAGAGGAATTGGAAAAGAGTATATGTGTTTGGTTAGTTGCTTGCTTATGGAGTTAAAGATGGTTATGAGTTACGAGAGTTGTGCTAAGCAAAAGGTTGGGGTAAAGTCGTAAAAAGGCGAGTGATCGAGGGAGGAAAGAAGAAACTGATAGTCAGAGAGCTTGTTTGTGACCGTGAGAGAATGTCAGTAGACAACCCTAAAAAAATAGGATTAATGATTCTGTGACATAAAAATATATTATTTATTACAATAATATATTAGGCTAGCTCCCGGACTTTCAAGTCAAGCCTCATTAAATTGTGCTTGGACTTGTTTGCTAAACAAGTTTCTTTTAAAGCTTGAGCCCATTCTATTTATTAAACAATTTAGAACAAGCCAACCTTAAAGCAAGGCAAGCCTTGGCCCTGACATGCTACTCAGTCTATTTACGTTTATCATGTAGTCAGCTAAACATGTAGTTAGTTTTTATTTCTTATTTTAGTACATAGCTAATTTTTATTTAATTTGTCTATAATTCACATGGTATGTTTATTTATCTATTTTTTTTACACCAAAGGATATAATTGCATGAGACTGATTCTATCGTATCCCACTTTAATACAATTTAAAGGTGTTCGCGGTCTGGATCGGATCGGTTTTGGAAGCAAAAATCATCCGATCCAATTTTTTTGGTTTGATCATATAATCATCCATTCGGTTTTGATTTTTTTTTCAAATTCGATCCGATCCGATCCAATTTTTTTCGGTTGGGATTGGATTGGTTTTCGGTTTTTTGAAAATCCTAAAATTTATTTCATGATTATTGTGCAAATAACATCTTTTGTATATATTGGCTTTGTAATTTTATTTTTTTTGAAATACAAAAGCATTAGTAAACTATAATATAGTTTTTTTTTTAGCAATGAGATATGAAGCTCTACAAAGATAAAATTTTGTTGATGAGATGTGACTAGATTTTTTTTTGGGTTTAGCTAGTTGATGGGTTAATAGGTCTTGAGTTTAGAAATTTTTACGCTATAATTAGGGAAAGACTCAAGTAGGTAGAGAAAAATTAATATATTGGATCGGTTTGGATTGGATTGATTTTCATCAACCCATCCAAAAACCGATCCAATCCAATTAAAATTTTCGGTTTTTAATCGGTTTTCGATTTTTCGGTTTTCAGTTTATTCGGTTATCGGTTTTTCGGTTCGGTCACCGCGGTTTGAATCGGTTTGGATCGGTTGATGAACACCCCTAATACAATTATATCATAAGAGAAATTCTAGTCATTCATGAAAAGATTAATAACCACAATTTTAATAACAAAGTTTATAAAACAAAAAAAATAATAATTTAACTATTGATTCATTAACCAATGAGTTGCTATTTTTTTTCTACATAATACATTTATATTAAAGTGAGACATAAAAGAATTCATTTCCAAACTAATTAATTAAATTTCAGTCCCCGTTTTGTAAAATTTTCAAATCAATCCAAATTCAACCACACCAATCAAAAGCGAATTATTTAAGTTTGAAACACTATATCTTTTACCGTAATAACATACCTAAAAAGTTAAATAAATATTAATAATCGCTAATATAATATACTTAATTTATTTGTTTCATATATAGCTTTTTTTTTAATAAAAATAAACGAAAAATCAAACACCAAACAAGGAATAAAGGTTGTCAACAATGACTTTCTATACTATTGAAAGTTATATAAGTGAAAGATTTATACACTTCATACCTTAAAGTTCTGGGTCAAAATATAATATCGATTTCAGTTATTATAAAATTAGGCTAGCTAGCTTAACCCACTTTTGGTTAATATTAAAATAACTCGATACACATTTCCCCCCATAAAAGTCATGTTTAAACTATTAATAAGATATACTTTTTCAATGTATACAAAAAATATACTTTTTCAAGTAATTCAATGACATATTTATAAAAATAATATAATTTGTTAAAATTTTTAATGATTTATATAATTAAATTATTTATCAAAATAACATAACTGAATTATTTTTATCACATGGATCCCACAAACCTCACATTCGAAGTAGGAACACGTGCCACCTTTACGAGTCCCACATAATTAATAGTGATCAAATTATACTACTTTAATAAATAGTTATTATGCCATAACATATTGCTATTTTTTTTAAAAAAATTATACTGTATTGATCATTTTACCTAATCCAATTGATAGACAGGCTCCAACTAAAAAACTGATATAAAATAATTAAACAGAATTAATTAAGAAATGTATGCCTTTTTAATATATGTTAAAAATATCTTAAATTATCCATAAAAAATATTAGATTTTTTTTTTGGTAGACAAAATATTAGATTTATTAAATTATATATTGGAAGAATAAAAAACCTATTTTTTTTTATTTAATATTGTTTTATGATTTTATTTTTCTCAATATCTCATATATAAATACTTATATATTTAAAAAATTAAATATTTAATAATAATTTTATATAATAGGTTCTATTTTAGATTTTTAACCTACACATAAGTATTTAAATTAATTTATTTTATATTAATGAAGTATGATTTTTGCTTTTGAAGCAGATAAATTTATCTACCACTAAGACATAAAAAAAGTAGCCTTCATCATTTTTTCTCTCTCATTCTTTTATGGTTTCTCTCTTTATCCTTTTATCTCTAGCAAAAATTATATTCTGTAAGGGAATATTACATTTTAAATATATAACTTTGTGTCATTTTTAATAAAATTATATCATTTTGATGTGTTTTTAAATTTTTTTTACATTTTTTCTTTTTTATAAAATTAAAAAAGAAAAGAAAATGAAAGAGAGAGAATGCAAATACATACAAAAATAATATAATTTCATTATAAATAATATAAAATTATATCATTTAAAATAACAAATACAATTGTTATTTTGCCCCGCTCCAAAAAAAAAATCTTACTTCTCCCTAAATGGTAAAGTAATTATTTTTTATTTACCGAAAAAAAAAAGTAATTTAAAAAATTACATGTGACCATTCATACGAAAGTGACACGCGTGATTGAGATTTGCATCATTGTCCAATGCCAATCGCCATGTGCGCAAATTTAGAGTGAAAGGCTTTTCCGGAGTTTTTCTTTCTTTCTTTTTATTTATTATTATATTTAGCCACAGCTAAATGAGCTGTTCGATGGCCTTGTTAACCGGCCAGCCTCGTCTGCATATAAAATGGAGGCCCCTCCTGAGATTTCTCGAGTTCTGTTAAGCCACGCATCACCACATAAAACACAACCTCTCAAATTTCACATTGCGGCCAGCGAAGCAGAGAGAGAAACTAGAGCGAGAGTGAGTGAGAGAGAGAGAGAGAGCACCATCGTCTCCGTGGCCGAGAGGTTCATCGAAATGGTGGACCCGTACGTGCCTGGATGGATCATATGCACTGCGCTGAGCCTCGTTGCGCTATACAAGTTAGTTTTCGCACCGAAGAACCGTTGCGCTTCATCGGAGGCCGCGGCTCAGTGCTCGGAGAATATAACCACCGCCACCGGAGAATGCAGATCCTTGAACCGCAACGGCGACGTTGACATCATCATTGTCGGAGCTGGTGTCGCCGGCTCCGCTCTCGCTCACACGCTCGGCAAGGTATTTTGATCTCGATTCCTATTTCGCCGTTGTTGAATGTTAATGCCTTCCTTCCTCTTGCATTTTTTCCGAATCCTTACGAAAAACGTGGTTTCGTTTCGTCGTTAATGGAATTGCGATTGGTTCATAATAATGGATGTTCTTTTTGATTTATCGTTTATTTGCGAGCGAGATTAAGCTTCGCTTGCTTGTAGCATTATAGAAACAGAGATTATTAGAGCAAGGTCAACCAGGCAAGCACACTGTTAGTGTTTATAGAAAGTTGCTCTGGGAGAGCTTATTACTTTTCTTATTCTGTTGAGATTCGGGAGAAAAATCTTACGAATATAGCTTTTCTTCATTGCTTCAGCAATTAAGAACATTACTCTTGTCTCTGATTTTATTGTTAACCATATGTGTTGAAGAAAAGTTAATTACAATACACCGTTGGCAGGGAAGGGATCCTGCACTTACAGTGTTGATGTACAATATGTAGTTATTTAATTGAAGACTATGACAGTGAAACAATATGGAGTTTGAATTTTTGTTTTTTCTTCTAAGCAGCTGAAGATGTAATATGTCTGTTTATGTTAGGTACCGTCTTTAAGAAAATATTCAAGGACAGGCACATATATAAAATAGAAAAAAAAAAATCACTCCCCGTTAAACCCGACTAGCGAGTGTAGGGTGGAGACAATTCTTATACACAGTCTTATCCTTGCATAATTGCAAAGAGGCTGTTTACTGCACTCTAACACATGACCTTTCAGTTATAAAAGGATAGAATAGACACATATATGTGGTGGAAAATTTTGTTGTTTTTACTTTTAAGATCATGTGACACCATTGGTGCTGCATAAAATCTTTGCTTCTAATCTAAACCAGTTGGTTATTTTCTTGAATGTCATTACAGGGATTTACAGATAGCGAGAAATAATCAGTTTGATTTTTAATATTACTTAATACGTCCCGGGTCCAATATAAAAGTAATCCCAACAAATTTCAGTTATACTGATGAAGATTCTTTATATACACTCGAGGATTATGTTAGCATTCTTAACATCTATTTTAACATAGGAAAATTCATATTTACAAATTTTTTATTTATAAATTTTTACAAACTATATTATGTCTTGTCGGTAAGATAGTCTTAAGTGAAGTCTTACCTGTAAGACATAGTGTAGTTTGTAAATTTGCAAAAAAAATTTATATGGCTTGATTGTTAGTTGTCTGTATATGCTATTAGGTGATGCATTAATTTTGAAAAATGACCGCTGGTATTTTTTCTCTTTTGGTTGTGCGTAGAAAAGGGGAAACTATGGCTTTGTGTTTTACTTTGGGAGTTTAGGTTATGCGGTCCAGCTGGTTTTGTTGTGTTGTGCTGTTGATAAATTTAATTTGAGACATATTTTGTGAGTTTTTAATTATGTTTTGTAATACAGATTCACTATTAATTAAGTATTGACGTGACCGCGTAACTAATATCTTAATGCAGGATGGACGTCGTGTACTTGTCATTGAAAGAGATCTGAATGAACCTGACCGAATTGTGGGAGAGTTGCTACAACCTGGGGGTTATCTCAAATTAATTGAGCTGGGACTTGAAGGTAGTACAAACTTAACTATTTACGACAGCATATCATTTTTTGTACTTATAGATTGAGGCTGATCGTGAATGCTCGAAATACGTATAAATATTTGTCTTTTAAACTTCGGTTAGCTCAAAATGGAGAATGATCGTAGCTTGTCTTTTACTGCAGATTGTGTGCAGAAAATTGATGCTCAGCAAGTGTTTGGTTATGCTCTTTTCAAGGATGGGAAACACACACGACTTTCTTATCCCTTGGATAAGTTTCACTCAGATATTGCTGGCAGAAGCTTTCACAATGGGCGTTTTATTCAGAGGATGAGAGAGAAGGCTGCCTCCCTTCCTGAGTACTGATCTCTTTCTGTATTTAGTCCTTGTTTGTTTTATGTAAAGATTGACTTGCTACGGTGTTGCACCTGCCTACGATTCTACGCGCAGGATTTCATTTTTAAGAAACGTATCATTTTACCTCATATTCAATTTTTCATATGGATGTCTTTTGAGCTGATTCGGATAGATATTTTAAGGGTCCGTAGCTTCTCATGTGACTGCTGATGAGAAAAGTTGTAGCAAATTTTTAACACTAGGATACACGTGCGGATCCTAGGATACACGTGCGGATTCTATAAAAAAAAAACCAAGATTCGGACGCGTATTTTGTGTTGCTACACTTTTTCTCTTCTGCAGTCACATAAGAATTACTTTCTCCATATTTTAATCATGTTGTTTAAAACCAATTTCATTTGGTTGGAAGTTATTTATGCAATTAGGTTCTGTGTCCTTGTATCTGATCGTACACAGTCATGAGCCATAAAAGCTCATAAGTCAATACAATTCAGAATTGATATTTGAGAAGTTTAAATAGACCTATCATTCTTCCCTTGAACTAGAGATATTTTCTTGTTCACACAAATATTTATGTGTTTTTGCTTTTTTAATATTCTACAGTGTACGATTGGAGCAAGGAACAGTTACTTCCCTGCTTGAAGAGAAGGGGACAATTAAAGGCGTGCAGTACAAAACTAAAGATGGTCAGGAATTATCAGCATGTGCACCTCTTACCATTGTTTGTGACGGCTGTTTCTCAAACTTGCGCCGTTCTCTTTGTAATCCTCAGGTGAGAAACTTTTCAGCTTAAATATGTGAGTTAGTTTCCACAGTCAAGTAAAATTGTTCAGTTTCTTTCTATGGAGTAACAGGCATCCATACAATGAATTAACATTTTGATTTGGAGTGCTTTTTGTCCTGGCTAAATGTTTTTGTTAGTCATGCTTGTAAAAACGAGTAGTCTGTAGAATTCTAGGTCACTGGTATTTTATAATGCTTTATTTGCAGGTAGATGTTCCATCTTGTTTTGTTGGCTTAGTTTTGGAGAATTGTGAACTTCCATGTGCAAATCATGGCCACGTTATACTGGGAGATCCTTCGCCAGTTCTATTCTATCCTATAAGTAGTACAGAAGTTCGCTGTCTGGTTGATGTTCCTGGTCAGAAGGTTCCATCTATTTCCAATGGTGAAATGGAAAAGTATTTGAAGACAGTGATAGCTCCACAGGTACCCATTTATGCACGTGATTACCTCTCTTTCATTGAGAGTAGGATTTTATATCACATTCTCAATTGATAGTGTTAGATGATGACGAGGGTAAAATTATTGCAGATTCCACCCGAGCTTTATGATGCTTTCATAGCTGCAGTGGACAAAGGCAACATAAGGACAATGCCAAACAGAAGCATGCCAGCAGCTCCTTATCCTACTCCTGGAGCCCTTCTGATGGGCGATGCATTTAACATGCGTCATCCTCTAACAGGGGGCGGGATGACTGTGGCATTATCTGATATAGTAGTGCTGCGAAATCTTCTCAGGCCTTTGTGCGACCTTAATGATGCACCCAAACTTTGCAAATACCTTGAATCCTTTTATACGTTGCGTAAGGTAATATGCTCTCTGATGACATTGAACTGAGACAACCACTTCTTCACCCCAATTTTTTCGTTTGAACTAAAATAAAATATGAATAAGCTTTCATGAAGCTATTAGCTCTGCTTGTTACATAAGCTATCTTAAATCTTTAAATTTGCAGCCTGTAGCATCCACCATAAATACGTTGGCAGGAGCCCTTCACAAGGTTTTTTGCGCATCACCCGATCCGGCAAGGAAGGAAATGCGCCAAGCTTGCTTCGATTATCTGAGTCTCGGAGGTCTATTCTCCGAAGGGCCAGTCTCTTTGCTTTCAGGATTAAACCCTCGGCCCTTGAGCTTGGTTCTCCATTTCTTTGCTGTTGCAATATATGGCGTTGGCCGTTTACTGCTACCATTTCCTTCCCCCAAACGGATATGGACTGGAGTCCGATTAATCTCTGTAAGTAGGAAACTTTCTGGATTCATTATTTTTTCATCTGGATAAATAAATAGCTGGGAAACCCTCTTTTTCTCTAATTGCGAAAACCAAATTTATCTTTTGTCAGAGTGCATCAGGAATCATCTTGCCCATAATTAAGGCAGAAGGAATCCGTCAAATGTTCTTCCCTGCAACTGTTCCTGCTTATTACAGAACTCCCCCGGCTGCGTAGAAGTCTATCTGTTAGTACCCTGAATAGTCAAGGTGTTTTAAAGATGAGCTAACACTGCTTTCCATTCTTCGGAAATTGGAAGGATTCAGTTCAGATGTCTGTAAACATTCTGGCTTTAGTGCGGATTCTTCAGTGTCAATATTTAATTGCATGTTTGATTTATTTTTTTATTTTGTAATTTGAGGTACGCCTTAGTTTTTAATGTTTTGCTTTGAAGTGCTTGGGCGAGTCATAAAATGGCTCATGGATCCTCCGGAATTTACAAGAGGGAATATATTTTATCGGCTGGTAACTTGTCTCCAAATTTAATTGAAAACTTAATACCAATAATTTCTTGCAAGATGCGAAAGTCGAAATCTTAAGCAGCGTAACAATCTTCTTTAATCCGACAGTTCTTAATAGAAAAACTTTATTTGGCATAGCTATGAAAGAAGAATTATGCCTTATGTCTGACACAACTTGCATCAAAGCATAACCGTAAAAAAAAAATATGTAAGAATAAAAAACTAAAGATACCTTATTTTGGTCCCTCATTAAATTCTTCTTTCACAATTTAGCTCCCAGATTAATTTTTACAACCTAATCTCATTATTCATCAAAGCAGGTGGATGAAATGGCGTAGTGCATCTGCATTTTTGTGTGACCGCAAAATCCCCCTGAAGTTAAAAGGAAAATTCTATAAAACGACAGTAAGACCGGCAATGCTATATGGAGCGGAATGCTGGCCAGCACATAGGCAACATGAGCATAAGATGATAGTAGCAGAGATGGGGATGTTAAGGTGGATGTGTGGTTACACAAGGATGGATAAGATAAGAAATGAAGATATTCGGCGAAAGGTCGGAGTAGTACCGGTAGCCGAGAAGATTAGAGAACATAGATTGAAGTGGTTTGGGCACGTGATGAGAAGACCCATGGATGCTCCTGTAAGAACAGAAGTTTGTTACCAAGAGCTAAACACAAAAAGAGGCAGAGGTAGGCCGAAGCTTACTTGGGGGAAGGTAGTAAAACAAGATTTAATGGAGTGAGATATAGATTGGCGGACAGTATGCCTTAGAACAGAATGGAGAAAAGCTATAAGTATGGTGGAGGGTTAGACCCGCTGTTATTCCTATGTTCCAGATGGTCCCTTTTTAGTCCTTTTCCCCTTCATTTCCCCCACTTCTTCTTGTCCCTTTCTTTTTTACTTTTATTTATTTATATATACATATATTTTTATTTTTATTTTATTTTATTTTATTTTTTTATTCTATTTGTTTATTTTTATTTATTTATTTATTTATTTTTTGCTTTTTGTATTTTTTTTCAATCGTTTTGTATCTTTTATGTGGGTTCATCTACCACCGACCCCAATTAATTTGGTATAAAGGTGTTGTTGATGTTGAATCTCATTATTCATCAAATTCGATCATATTTTAGTTCTTTTTTTAAACCAAAATTCACCTCATACACTGCCTGTTGACACAAACTTTAATCGCTAAGGTAGCGTTTAACAGATGCGATAGAATGAGAAAAAACATAACAAATAGATTATATTCTCAATTGGTGCATTTTTTTTTTAGTGAATGAGTGCATGAATGTAAAAGAGGTGCAACACAAAAACTTCCCATGAGGTCACCCCTTCTAGTACTCTACTCTCGCCCAAACAAGCTTAAATGCGGAGTTTTAATAAAATCCAAGACATTTTTATAATATAACAGAATATGACATAAGGTTAAAAAATAATGAATTTTAATTCCACTAAAAAGAGCGAAACCAAGGAGAACAGAACACCAGAACTATTATATTTCATTCTATTCACGAACCAAACGCTAATTAAGAAACTACGTTGAAAACCAACATATTAGGGAAAGACCAAAATAAAATCTTAGTAATTATAAGAAAGCATTAAAAAATTTAAAAAATAATTAAAGTTAAAAGAATATACAGAAACACTAGATAAACATCTAAACAAATAGTGGAAGAGAAACTAAGAACATAAACATTTCTGCAATGCACAATAATAACCTACGGGACAATGTAAGATAGCGCTGCAAAAAAATTTAAAAACTAATATAAATTCAAATAAAATAAACACTAAATAAACATATTAAGAAATAATGGAAGAAAAATTAAGAATATAACCATTTCTTAAATGCAAATTTATAAGCTGCGGTACAATGTCAACCTTTGGAAATAATTTGGGTGCAAGTGCCTGTCTTTCTAAGGCTTCCATATTCAACCTCTTATAGTCCGGCCAGTGTTCCACGCATGGCAAAGAGATCGCCGCTCAATGAAGTCATGCGGTCTACAATTAAATATTTAATTACCAGATTTTCTTTATACAACTCAAACGAGTTACGCAAGTCTGTTTGTTATACAAGGGTCACAAATTCTAATTAATGAAGGCAAAACAGAATTGAACTGCTATCATCAGTATAATAATATGCATAAAACTAAAATTCCAACTCTTTTTAAGCCACACAGATATAATCCAGCTTCCATCCAAAAAAAGGCATGAAAGAAAATAATAAACAAATGAGACTTGTATCCCTTTAACTTTATTACCGCCAAAGATATTATTTTTCCATCCTTACTCCACCTAATCTGTATTCAGTAAGTTTGTCTAATTAATAATTAATTTAAAAAACAAACCACACAGAGTTGGCAATTAAAGTCCAAACTCCAAAGTGAAAATGCCTACATTGCGCTTATGGTAAAACCTGACCTTGTAAAAATCGGATAATGATTGGGTCAAACCAAGTGTGTGAGGCGTGATACATATAGTGGTTGACAGAAAGAAAGCGAGCAAAGTGTTTCTAACATTATATGTAGTAGTAATAATATGCACATATATCGTGAGAGAAAATAGTTTGCCCATTTTGACAGGCTCCAACTGTGTACAGGAAGTGAATTATTGTGCGAACACAACCTCATGGAATCCTCAGAAACCACATTACAGGGACATTGAACATGTGGTTGGAATTCTAATTAATTAAATACATACCTTAAATCTGATGAATTTCAAAAATAACAAAAACAAAAATATCATGATCTAATTCACTAATAACAGTATAAAATTTACTCGCAGCAGAACCATATTTTAGCTGGATGATAATTCCAAGGAGAACTGAGGAACTTTATTAATATATTTGGAATACCTCGCATCCTTTCAGGTCCCAGGATTGTTACAGTTAGGCAGTTACAGATTCTGGTTCCTTTCCTGTTTTATGGCCTCGTATGAAGTCATTACTTCTTTGAATTTAGCCTCAGCAGCCTCTGTAACATTTCCACATACACGTATCTGTGATTAATAATGCCATGGTTTTGAGTTTACAAGACCTTATACACTAATAATAAGTCAAGACCTACCTGTATTATTCTGGTTCTGATCAGGATGATACTCCTTTGCCTTTGTCCTAAATGCTGTCTGCAAAGATGAGAGAATAATTTATAAATGAAATTAAGACATAACAAGGTAATGTACATAACACTGAGAGCAGTAAGCAATAGTATCAGCAACATCAATATTTAACAAAAATATGAAGGGAAAACACACAACAGGAAATCAAATCAGGACTGATGTCACGAGAATGCCATATGTGAATAAGATAGAACAGCATCTTTTCTTCAAAGGCCAATAGTTGGTAAAATGTTCATAAATTATAGCAGACTCGTAATTTTCGTTGAGCTCAAATCCCACATCATTTCACATGGTTTCACTAATTTCCAACAGAATAATTATGAAACTAGTAGTTCAAGAATGGTTCTCAAACCCACCATCTATTTCTAGTATAAAAGAAGCTTCTAGTCATATGTTACATATCATAAAAGCTGAAAGGAAAATAAGATGCAACACTTTTTTTTATCAAGAGTGTGATGCATATTGTAATTGGTACATAAAATCTAGCAAAACACTGACAGTAATATGCAATTGCAAGGCATTATGACAAAAAGAGAAGTTACCTTAATCTCAGTATCTGAATATGGCGTTTTTCTAAACCTGAGGTCCAACAAAAGAAAATTAAATTTAACAGCTGACCATGAATGCAAAGCAAGCATGCTACCTTCTATGCAGATAGGACACATTCATGTACAGGTCTCCAAGTATTTACAAAGTTACAATTACATTCAAGCAAAAATATGTAAACTCCATTCACATATACTGATCTTGCAAGTTGCATGTTACAACTATCAGTATATATCAAAATCACATACTTGTGTAACTCTAATCACATACTGCTTAAAATGAGATCAGTCATTGCTGCTCTGAATCTATCATATAAGGATGTACCCTATCCATATAATATTCACAATATCAGGCATTTTCTTCCTCTCGACACTATTCTCATTTGTTTTCTTTTCTATAATATGCACAGCTATATTGTATTTCATCAAGTAATATAAGTAAACACCTTACATTTCCTACAAAACCACATATTAGATGGACCATTATTTTAGATTCCTGTGAATACCTGTCAAGACCCAAAACTGAGTAGTGATGTGATAATGCATAGCTTCCACTCTCTCTTGGAGTTTCACGGTAATTAGTCCTCCTGTCTCTGAAGGAGGTATCAGCCTTCCAATACCAATCTTCTCTCTGGAAATGCTGATGATATGCGCCAGAACTATTTTCCCTCCAGCTTTCGTAGCTTCTTTTGAACTTATTCCTTTCTCTGTTAAACACACTTTGCATTCGCCTTATTCGTTCCTGCAAAGAGCAGATGGAAACTCATTTAGTGATGCAGAATGGAGAAGCATATTTGAGGATTATTGTGATATTTAGGAACTATCATGTTATTATTAGAAATTTTAGAATTTCCTCTTATTTAAGAGATCTTTCATAAAAAATTACTCCTCATTAAATCCCGACCAGTAAGGGTAAGAGTGAGGACAATGCTTATACATAACTTACTTTCATATTTGCTAAGAGGCAATTTCCCAGATTCGAACTCGTGACCTTTCAGTCTCAAAGGAGCATATTTACCACTGCTCTAGGTTTGCTCTCTTAAGAGATCTTTCATAATTTTTAGATGTTTTATCTTAATAAATTATATGTTCTCAGAAAATATTATCATGTCAAGGTTTCCTGTTTATTTTGATTGAATTAGTATTTCATATTTTTGAAATTAATATTTGATTAGGATTTCTCTAGAATTTTTATTATCTTAGTTATAAATATCCTTTAGCTGCCTTATGTTCTTCGGACCTTTCTGCATAATTATAATATTGAGATTTCCTTTTTTCCTCGTAGAGTATATGAACCAGAGGATTACTCTGCCCTAAATGAGTAAAAAACCACTACCCATGAAAATCTTGACTAGTGAGGATAAGGGTGAGGGAAATTCTTGTACAAAGCTTTATTCTTGTATCGTTACAAAGAGGCTATTTCCAGGATTAAAACTCGTGATCCTCTTGGTCAGTGATGGGTCTGAAAGTGGTGAGTGAGTTAGTAAGTTAGAGAATTCTTCTAGAAAATTCTTAGAGGATAGGATAAAAGGGGGGAATGTGTGGAGTGAGGTATGCATGTATTGAGTGAAAATGGGAATTTGGGGATCTCTTAGAGCCTAGGGTAGTTGGTTCTAAGGGTGAGTTGGGGTCTTTTGGTGTCTTGTTCTTGTATTAGTCTTTGTAAAAAGAAGCTATGCCTTCATTGATTCAATAAATTTAGTATTATTAATTTGGGTTCCATCAATCACCAAGGAGTAATTTTACCACTGTTCTAGGCTCACAGCTCACCACTTTGAGTACTCTAGGTTTTATTGTATCAGCCTACGATATCCAGCCAATCAAGCATTCAAGCAAGCTAAAAAGTGCATTTCTTTTTGCCTTACAGCGAAGCAGGAAATATATATGATTTCTTCCCAAAATATCGCGATTCAGCCTTCTGAAAAAAATACAGCAGAGCACATCTACCAATCTCAAATTCTTCAAATGCAAGGTAAAGTTCATAGGGATAATAATAATAATAAAAGGAGTACACAAGTAGAAGAGAAAAAACTCACCACTCTCTCCATCTCCTCCTCGTACTCCTCTTGCAGTCGCTTATTGTGCCTCCTCCATGCCTCTTCCTGAAAAGATGATCGGAAAGAACCACCACTCCCTCCTTTCCATGATGACTGCGACCTGGTCAGCTACAACAAAAGTGTTCAAAAGCACGCACCATCAGTTTCACTTTGGATCACTTTGTTGTAGTTCAAAGATAATTGAGAAACGAAAAACCTAGACTCTTCAAGTGAGTCTATATACTAGCAAATCATATAAAAAGCACAAGACAGAAAAGCATATTTTCATATAATATAAGATAAAAAACGTTTTTATGATGCAGAAAACACAAATAGATTCGTTAATCGCTCTGGTAAGATTTCAATGCCTTTAGTTCGTAACATATTTGAATTCACTCCAGTAACGGAATACAAACAGGTAAGTACCTGAACATAGAACCAATCAAAAGTCCTCCGCAGCTGACCGACCTGCAAATTCGTATGCAAATGTAATCCAAACGCTCAGCAATAAATAAAAACCCTAAGGCTAAGATCGATTGAGAAAAGAGAAAACCTAGGCACACAGTTACAGAACAATTGAACAAAAAAGAATGCGGAGAGGCTCACCGCAAATGTAGTGGCGGTGGCGCCAATCAGGCCGAAGAGGAAAACTCCCCAAAGCTTCGGGTCTTCGCTTTTATCTTTCTCTTCTTCCTCCTTCATTTCTCCTCGTTCTTAAACAAAGTTACCAATTTCGATCACCAATTCCACAACCCAAACGCATTTAGATGCTTTTGCTCCACTTATCCTATCTTCGCGTTTATTTATCGAGTATCGACAATTCAAAGTTTCAATTTACCAACCTTCTGAGTTTCTCGATTCTCCTTGATTGTATATACAATCTCGTTTATGAGTTCGGTGTTTGTGATCTTAAATAATATAAATTATGTATAGATTATCCACCTAAACACAAATAATAAAAATTACGAAAGATAGAAAATGAGTGGTTTTTTAATTTAAATTTTAAATAAAAAATTTATTTTGTGTCTATCTCTCTTAATATGACAAACACTTTTTCTTTTGTTTATTAGTGAAAATAAAAAATCAACAGTTTAAAATATCTTAACCGTTTCGTAGTTATTATTTAGGGTTTTATAAGAGTTATCTTCTAAGAAAATTGATTGTGTAATGTTATAGAGATTCGTTTTGCGTGTCTTAGTTTTTTATTTTTTATTTTTGCTTTAAAAAATAAGGACTCCACAAAATATTGTGTGTGTAGACAAAATTTTTGTGTCACGTGACATAATAGATGCAAACTCCATTTATTTATTATAAATTAATAATTAATTAATAAATCTAATTTATAAAAATAATAATTGACGAAAATTAACAATTAAAATGTAATTATTAATTTTTTTAAATGAAAATAGATTATACATATAATCTTATTTTTTAAATTGATGTCATATTTAAATTTTTGTAAGGAAAATATTCATATTTATTGCTTTCAATCAATAAATAATAAGGTATACTTATAATTTATTTTTGTTTCCAACTTGATTTCTTTCAATCAATAGTTATCATTTATTATGAATTAATAATTAATTAATGAATTTGATTTGCGAAAATAACAACCATTGAAGGAAATCAACGATTAAGATATAATTGTAAGAGATGGTAAACGAAAATAGGTTATAAATATAACCTTCCTCACTTAAAAATATTAAAAAATTAAGTTATCTTTAAAAAATAGGTAAAAGATTCGTTTACAAATTTTTACAAATTACACTATATACTCCTAAAAGTACATAGTATAACCTAGGAAAGTACATAATAAATTTGAATGTATCCTCCCTAAAAAAAATATCTCAGAATTAAATATATAGATAGAAGGCTTGATCTTTTGCTCTCTTTGGGCACAACAAACTATGAACATTCTTATATTGGGCCGAAATGAATACATTAACGAATAAAAGCAAGAAGGCCCGTAGGAAGCCCATTTCGTACCCATCGGTTGGGCACCGTTGGATATTGTTGTCCCCACCAACCGACACTTGAATCAAATCAAGTCTTTACAAACCATGATATGTGCGCTCCATTTTTTAGTTGGTAAAGCATAGCAACAGGAACATTAGTTACATTCCCACGAACCCGGTCTTTATTCTCTATCTTGTTTTTTTTTCCCATGTGTGTTGTGGAGGACAGACAAAACGCGCAAAATTCAGATCTAGCCTCTGACAGGATTTGCATAATGCAGGTTCTATAACACTGTTTATTGGTAAGCACTAAGCAGAGAACATTGTACGTATCATGTGGAATGATTTGTTTCCTATAGCTGTGGCGCAACCTTCAATGTTTTTGTATAATTTACTCTCTTTTTTAATTATTTTGATATAGCTGCCACGCTTTCAATAGATTAATTCTAATAAGCAGCTCCAATGGCCTTGTGGGTCTGAATGATCTAGGTGAATTATGTCTGTGCGATAGTGTAGTTACTTATCATCAAGCTATTGCATGTGTCTTCTTGATCCATTTATTGATATTTATGCTGACTAATGTTACAGAACATATATAAAATCTTTGTGGTGATAAACAATTGAATCGAAAAGAGATGTCGCGGAGACCTGTGAATCCGTCTCGGCGATTCGGGGACAGCGGAGGTGGATTGTTTTCTTCTTCGAAATCAAGGTCGTCGCCAATTTTGTCGGTTGGGCTCATTATCGTGGTAAAGGATAGATTTAGTTTAACACACGAAGCTTACTTTTGCTGATTATCGAATACTGTGTTTTCTGTGGAGGAGATTCTAATCACTTTAGGTTCCCAACTTTTATAGGGAGGGCTGTTTCTCGTTGCCTTTATGTACAAGGGCTCAGGTTTGTCTAAAATGGTTTCTATAGTTTTTGGATTGATTTTTATTTTTTATTTTACATGCTTAGTACAGTGAGTAACCTACATTTCTTTTCCTCTCTGATTTATTTTATAGGAGGATTTGGCAGCCGTTTAGAGTCTGTCAGCAGGGTTGAAGGTAATTTTAACTTTCTTTCTTCCTAGTTCTAGATTGTCATATGCTACAACACCTACTTTTTTTTTTCTTTTTTCAGCGAATGATGGTGTCATTTTGTTTTGTATTGCATTAATTATGCCGCATACGACATATGTGTATATTTTTTTAATTGATCATTACCTTTTATGAAAAACTGCACATTTTTATTTTACTAAATAAGGACCACATAAGGTTACTTCCTGTTCCTGGAGATGTTTTGTGACGCACTTGAAGAACTTTTGTTAAGTTAAATAACAGTGCAAGTGTCTGTCTTCTTATAAAAAAATCACATTCCTTTCTCCAAAATACATTTTCTGTTGTCATTTTCATAAGGTCATCCTTATGACAAATGTATTGTGCTTGAAGGGTATGGCTGAAATGAATAGCAAAAGAACAATCCTGGCCCGTTCTTCTGGCTATTAGTGTTTTCTGAATTTAGTTAGTTGTTTTATCTTTTCTTGTTTCAGGATGGCAATATCCTACCATGTTTTGTGCCTTTATTATCATCCTTTAACTTGCAACTGAGACAATTCTAGTTGGTTTTATGCTGGCTGTGCATTATGACTTATAATTACCATCTTCTGACTTTTGCTGATGCTAACCTTGTCTGGATCTCATGTAAAATGAGTGCTCTATATATTTATCCTACTGTGCTATCCACTGGGTTGCTTCAGTGATTTGCATCTTGTCTTTTTAGCAGCCTAGTTTTATGCTAATGATGTTGTTCTGTAAGGAAGGACCCAGTGCTAAACTGAATAATTTTCATGATACTTCTCCTGTGCAGATTGTTTGAGTAATATTTGCTTGCTACTCTGATTTCTCGGGTTTGTTTGCAATATCCAGAAATCATGATAAATGTTGGAAATAGGGTTCAGTTTTCTGAGTTGTTTAAGAAGTTGTGATCTTGCTCTCACCTAAAAGCTATAACTCAGTAGCATTCTCCATTATAAATATTTTTGTTTATTTGAACAGACACATATTTAGCTTGGCATTTTTCACCTTCCAGATATATTGTAATAACATGCAGGACTTCAAAATGCAGGTGATTATTTGTGTACTGGAGAGGTCCAAAGAGCAATTCCCATTTTGCAGAAAGCATATGGAGATAGCTTACATAAAGTTTTGCATGTTGGTCCTGATACTTGTTATGTGGTCTCTAAATTGCTAAAGGAAGAGGAAACTGAAGCCTGGGGAGTAGAACCATATGATGTAGAGGATGCTGATAGTAACTGCAAAGCACTTATCCGCAAAGGCATTGTGCGTATGGCTGATATCAAGTTTCCTCTTCCATACAGGGCAAAATCTTTCTCTCTTGTAATTGTTTCAGATACCCTTGATTTCTTGTCTCCCAGATACCTCAACAAAACTCTTCCGGATTTAGCAAGGGTATCATCTGATGGAATAGTGATATTTACTGGTAATGCACTTAAAGTAGTGCCTTTTCCCGTCTATAAATAGAATTTCTTTTCTGTCAAAGGAGATTCCTGTAATCTAAAGCTAGCATTAATTCACTTATCTCTACTAGAATTACGAACCTATAATGGGGAAGTGAAAGTAGTATATATATTTCCAGGATTACTTTGCTTCACAAGCTATGTTATTCAACTTTTTCAAATGTTGAATTGGGACTGGCATCCAGTATAATATTTGTTTACAAAGCAGAAATGGTGTGTTTTTTTTAGCTTATGTGAACCGTATACTGCAATTCTCTCTTATTGTACTTGAAAGGATCCAATGCTTTCTTTTGTTGAAATTTTTATTTGTTACTAAGATTTTGAGCTTTTTATTGTGCTGGTAGCCTAAAAGATTATCTTAGCAGCAATCAGTAATCTTTTGGACCTTTCTCTAGCAAATTGGCATCTGATAATATTATCTATAAATGTAGGTTTACCAGGCAATCAAAAGGCAGCTAAGGTTGCAGATGTTTCTAAATTTGGAAGAGCAGTAAGTACATTTTATGCGGTAATAATATTTTTATTTTTGTTGTTGCTTCATGGTCAACTATTGATCTTGGAAGAATGTTTAGAAGGCCCATGATCCTTGACCCTCAACTTTTATGAAGCAAAGGGTATCTTATATATCTATCTGTCTATATATTTGGTTCATAAACAAAATTGAGAAAGAAAAAATAATCAACAGATTTGTCTTGCTTCAGGCTAAGATGAGGAGTCCATCGTGGTGGGTACGGTATTTCCTTCAGATTAACTTAGAGGAGAATGATGCTGCTTCCAAGAAGTTTGAGCAGGCTTCGACAAAGAGTTCATACGTTCCAAAATGCCAGATATTCCACCTGAAGTCTCTCCATTGACTTCGTGATGATTACATTTGTAGCATGCTTATTCCTCCGTTTTCATCTAAAACACTTTCTTCTATAAAGGTAATTCAATTCATTGATATTTACTCGCCATAGACGGTGTATGTGTTTGTTGCTGACTGTAGTAGATTTATATTCTTTGAAATACCAGCCCCTGGCGGCAAAAGATAAATCAGTTTGGTATTTAACTAATTGATCAGTTGAATAGGTGATCTTAAGTGCACTAGCAGTGATTGTTGTTCTTGAAGTGATATAAATTGAATCTCAGCTGGAATAATATGGAAAAATGATGAATAACCGCATTCGTTTTTCCCATAATTTACATTGATCTCTAAACCATTGCTGATACAAAACGAGGACTGGTGGGATGTTTGCATTAACTTCTTACATTAGACCAAATGAAAGTATCATTTTAATCCAAAAATTTAAACCGATGAATGTTATATTAATAGTTTTATAAAATGGATGCATCGGATGTCCTGTTGTAGGACATCTTGCAGGCTTTTTGACCCTTATAACCCTTTATTAATAATTAAT